AAAACAATTGTATATGGCTTTAACTGGTTAGTTTCATTAGGAAATGCTATCCTATTATGGTAAACTGCTTTGAGATGCATTTCTAGGAGCAGGAGAGAAAAAATCTTCTGTTGAAAGATAAAGTGAGAACTTTGCTCTCACACCTTTCCTGATTGCTCATCCTAAATTGTGTTCATTGGCAACCCCAGTGTGTGAAAACATTTTTCCCCCTTGTCCAAAGGAATTTTTGCTATGTTAGACTATCAAGCTGAAGCTTTTAGCTGTAACATTTTTTTTTAAAAAAAAAGCTTTATTTTAATTTTATCACAAATAGAATATAAAGTAAAATACGTTTAATATTTAATTGAATGATCTGGGAGGCTGGAAGTTGCTGATAAACACTCTTTGTGTCTCTGTATTAAATGGTTAGTTAGTTTAAACTAGGTGGGATAGAAATAATCTTCTACATGATTGTATATTATTCTAACATTGACACCTTTTTGAGTGATTTTTTTTACCATTAGAATGAGGTTGTTGTTTTTGTTTTTTTCTTGCCACCCCATGGAACTATTCAAATTGCCACTGCATTTTCCCCTTCACAATAATAGCTATTTAGAGCAGAAAATACCCCTGGGTTTTTGTTACATATCAACGCCTCGCCCCCTCTCTATTTCTCTCTTCCCCTCTCTCCCCCCTCTCTCTCACACACTCCCTCTACCTCTCTCTCTCTTCGTCTATCTCCTCCCCTCTCTCCCTCCTCTCTTTCTCTCCCCCTGAAATTTGGATATTACATGAATGTTATTTCTGCTTTCTCTTCCTCATCCACCCAAAAATAAACCTGATGGTTTCTATGGGCTAGGAAACCTTTATCATCCTGCTCTAAAGTAGCTTAAAGCCAAATATCTTCCCTCCAGCCCTGAAGCCTCAGCTTCAAAGGTCAGGGTTTAGACAGCTCTTCCTGATCCCCATGGATAATGTTTACAGTGCTCTCAAATGACTTAAAATAGACTAAATTGTTTTGAGCTGACAGTTGAAAAGGTCACCAAGGAAATCAGTTTAGCCAGTTCTGCCTGCTTGCTAGCTTACGGATGGTCAAATCTGTCGTAAACTACAGCAAAGGAAGTATTTTGCTTTGTTTTGTTTTAACTCTAAAACACATTGGAAACCAAGGAAGAATGTTCATTTTGTGGACTTTGCCAGATTCCTCCTTCTCTGGGCTGGCATGGTGGAAAAACAGCCTCAGCTTTTATTAGTTGAATTATATTTCAGAAGTACATACCTGCTGTCAAAGATATATTTCTTAAAAAAAAAAAAAACTTGAAAGGCCAGACATTTGGAAATGATTCACAGTTGAAATGAGTGTACAAAATGAGCTCATTAGCCAATCTTGTACACAAACAGGCACACACAATGTAAGATACTATGCTGGGTTATCTCAGTTTGATTGTTGGGTTACCTCAGCATTACAGCTCAGGTCATGATCATTGATCCACACCTGGTAAGTCACTCATCTGATCAAGAACTTGTTTTCTATGACTGGTCCAGGATAAATGCATTTTGTATTCTTTGATTTGTGATAAGATCCCTTCCTTCCTTCCTTCCTGCCCCCTTTCTCTTTTCCTCCCTCCCTAATCCTTTCCCTTCCTCCCTCATTCCCTCACTCCCTGTCTCCTTCCTTCCTTCCTTCCTTTTTACTTCTTTCTTTCCTTCTTTCTTCCCTTCTTTCTTCCCTCCCTCCCTCCCTGTCCCTTTTCCTCCCTCCCTTATCCTTTTCCTTCCTTCCTCCATCCCTCCCTGTCCTTTTTTTCTTTTCTTCTTTCTTTCTTTCTTTCTTTCTTTCTTTCTTTCTTTCTTTCTTTC